GTCCAGACTATCACAGCAGAACCCAGTGAAGATATCTACACCAGTAGAAGAAGAGGTTCTAGGGCTTTGGAGACACTTCAGGCTTTAACATATGTTGCTGGGTGGGTTGCCAAAAAGGCACGAGTGTGCATGCATGCGATGTCATTTTTGCAAAGAGGAATCAATGGGATCATACGTATGCAGATAGAGAATGTGACATTTTATTCGAGACAAAAGATATTTGATACCGCTAGACTTAATTTTCCTAGTAATGAATTAATTAAATGTCTGCAGAATGCACATAATTTTTGAAAACCAAGATTAGTAATTTTTATAGCCAAACAAACGTCGTCTCTAAACTGGCGGAGGAAATGACCGTAGTTAACTTTGATTGGCTAACAGTTCACCAACAGCATTCAATTGCATTACAGCACAACATTGTCAATGTATTTTGTAGAATGAAGCTGCACTATTTTTTGAAATATAAAATGCGCGATCAGAGACCAAGTTACGGAAATCGTAAGCTAGCTAAGACAGCTTCAAAATAAATTAAATAATATAATGTATATTTAATAATAGTAATTAGTTTATATGTATATTATAGTGTTAATACAGGGATGGAATGCAATTGTGTTTTCCAGCTGAAATAGCCGGGCGGTCCAGCGGGCGGGGGGGGGGCGGTCAAGTCCCAGGGTGAAGCCCTGGTCAGGGGGTTCAGGAAATTTTTGAATTTTCACAACTTACATAGCGCATAAAATTGCTTAGGAGACACATACAGAACAGAATTGTTACAGGCATTATTACAGCTACACTGCAGGGGAGTATATCTTTGCACTGTATTTATCAATAAACCAGATTTAATTACTCATACACAAAATTGACTTGACATTTGCCAAACAAATTATTTTAATGTACCACTTACCACACTGTTCCCAACGGCTAACCTTTATTAATCTAGATTGTTTATTGTCCAGGCGTATTCAATTTGTTTCTGCTCACTACCGTAGATTGTTGATCATATAGAACAACTTTAGCGGACTTGTCCGCTGCCAAGCGCAAGTCTGTGAGCCAAACAGTGATCAGACATCAGGAAAGGAAACGCCTTTATCTTGCTACGCCAAAAGGTTGCCCAAAAAACCCTCCCTTGCGTGCCTATATAATATTCCTAACACCTAGGAGCTAGGGGCCGATCGTGCCTACATTCATTTTTGTTTATCGTTTTCAAAGATTCACCGAAAAAAGCAGCTCACGACACACCTTTTATGGTTATGTCTATATGTATTTTAAACAGAACACTTCGTTATTGAGCGAGAAGTGAAAGCTTCGTACTTCAGAAAAGGGGCCTCAGGTCACGCGTGACGCGCGGCTTTGATGTACACGATTCGATCGATCGCGTACTGTATACTATATACGCCTGGTAGCACGGCGCGCACACATACCACAGATTGCATGGCGTCAAATAACGACCACTGGCCAACGTCTGTACAAATCTTCAAACGTGAACTAAGCCGTGAATCTATTGATAAGCGATCTAATGTCTATTTCGTTAACGCGAACCTATATTTCACGTTATTAAATGAAGGTACTGTTGGACTGGTAATGAAAATTATGTACATTCGAACCCCCCTCAAATTTTCTTCTACAACGGATTTAGGACGGTTTCACAAAATCCGACCCTGGAACTAGTTGAAATCCGGGATCTTCAGCGGATTCCGCGGAAGATTCCCATCCGTTAATAATATATTATAGTATTTATATTATTCATATTTATGTTAATTTAAGGAGCCATAACTAAGTACACTTGTCAACCTTAATTAACAAACTCATTATAAGCTTATAAGCTAAGGTAAATAAAACCACTCTTGTAAAATACGATTCATCTAAACAGGCACCTTATTCATTCCTTGATAAGTCAGCTACTGTTATATATTTTAAGCTAATGCAATGTTTCTATCTAATAAATTCTAAATAGTAAAACTAAACTCTTATAAGGTTTTCAAGCGTATTTTTATAAACTATGCAAACTATATTGGTAGACTTTGAAATGCAAACGCATTCAACAACTTACAGGGCGGGACACAACAGTACGGATGTAGCGTTTTCGGTGTCTTTCGCCGACACCAGGGGCGCCCCTGACAATACGCAGTAACTGAAGCAGTTTACCTCACTATAAGTGAGATGCCAACACGCGTGAGATAGTGCAACGAGAAAGTCAAGAATAGACATGTTCCTACGCTATGCGTCGTTTCGTCGCCCCTCAGCTCCACTCCCCACGAGACCGCCTAGATGCTACTACGCGTCGCCGTCGTGGCCAACCAGCGATCCGTTCTCACAGAGGTTGAAAAAACTGATTAATTGGGAGGCACTGACTGGTCCAGCGAGGACCAGTTGCCTCTGAGCGACAGACTGACGTCCTGGTACAGTTAGGCACTGCGTCCAGGATTTCTGTCATAGCAAAAGTGAATGACTCGGACATGTGGGGGACGTTTTTTATAGGGGGGGATCGGTGCCAATTGGAGTGATGTGCATTCTAATGGTAATTCTTCAACATTATAGTTTTTTACACGTTTCGAATACACCTGATGCCGTATGTAAATCGGAACAAGTCCGCAAGTCGATTTCCAAAGTCAGCGGTCTCTGAAGGACCGGCCATTTTCCATATATCATCAAAATTTATCATATTTTCATTACGCAAATCGTGATTCCGTGATTGGTCGGGGTGCCAGTATTATCGAATTAGCAGAGGTTTACAGCATGACTTAGAAAATCGAACACAACAAACATGGACGAGTTTGGGTGTAGGGCCTAACTTCGCATGGGGGGGGAACTTTAGGCTTCGGAATTTGGACTATTTTGAGTCTATATTTGATTAAATTTACCATTCATTTCATTAGAATAATGTAGAAGGTTAGTAGAAAATAACAAAATAATAAGTTTGGTAAATTTTTTATTTCCTGTGCGGCAGCCTAAAAATTACTTTTTTTTACGAGAGCTCTTTTTTGATTTTGTATGAAAAAAAGAGCTCGTAATTTTTTTTACGGGAGCTATTTTAGGCTTGGCCAGCGCTACTTTTTCATAGCATGATTTTGTTAAAATTTTCATAATTTTGATGCACTGACTAATATTATTCATCAGCATTCAGCACTCAGCACCAGTATTAACCCAACCAGGCTGTGTGACTAACGTCAATATACTAACCCTAGCAATACCGTTTCTTGGAGCTACACCAGTATGAGACTATCAGTGTTAAGAAATCGTCAACAAATTACATTCGATCACATTTTTTTTATCTCATTTCACTCGACTAAGAAACCAATCACATTCTTATTCAATTTCATTCACACAGACAGATATGCACTACACAGTAACTACTACACATAGTCAGGTAACATGACAAAGACAGGAAATCAAGAATTATAATCATGGTAATGATGGTATGGTTATTTTCAAGTTTCTTTTTTTTACTTCATTTCCTTCATCTTTCAACTTTCTTTTTACATCGACTGAGCAAGTTCAGAACTTCAGAGCGTGTTTTTAGTTACTTTGAGTATGTTAAAAAAACTTGTACTGGAATCTCTAGGAATGCCGGGAGCTTCTGGGCAAGGTTTTACTTTCGTTTTTCTCCTCCCCAGTCCAGGGTACCCCCATGCATAGATCAATATGCTGCCGCACATCCGCAAAGTTACAAGTGCCTAGAATCTAGAATATACTTCTAGAATATTGCTTCTAGATATCTAACTGAATAAAAATAGTCCACTTTCTACGTTAAGAAAAGTGACGAATTCAGTTAACAGCTTTGATTACGTGCATGTCAGGTGTCACTGGTCGTGCCCTCACTCCCCACGATAACCCCTGCGATATAAAAACTTATTGTTATGTGGTCATAAAAACTCTGGGCTGCCGGCGATGTAGCAATCGATTTCTTAGACTGTCGCGGGGTTTTGTACGTGTGGCGAATCATGCGTTGATGCGTTGCGTGTGCGGCGATTATCTAGTCGCCCCGCCGGACCAGCTGACACGAGCAAGCAGTCGCCCGGTCAATTTTCTAATCGCCACTGGCGACTGGGCGACCGCTAGTTTCTCACGCTGTATATACTATATATACGTCAGTCAGCTTTGAGAAAGACCCCTGTTAGAATGCGAAACGTTAGCAGTACGTTTCGCATCCTACACGGTCAAGTAGAAAAGCCCACATCACCCAAGGACGCTGGGCAGACTGCCGGGGGTAGAACGCGGGGATGTGACGCTGCGGCAGACCGAAATTCGTTACATATATATATATATATACATACTTATATACATACACATACCAACATAGACACATAAATAAATAACTACATCTAGAATGCATCAGTAACCTAACCCTCTTGCCTGCTTGATTCCATGAGGGGATACTAGCAGACATGACTTACACGCTGCTGATTCCTTGTCACACCAGGCTGCGACTTATCGTCTTGTCCACCCAGGGGGCGCCGCCTGTCCCCAGCCACACTACGGTAGTGTTCGTCCACCACCTCCTGTATCATCGCCTGCAACGAAGAGTCCACAACACGTGCAAAACACACATCACTGTTACTGCAAGCCTGCAAGCCTGCAAGCAATAACATTCCCATAGAATAGAGAGGAATATTGTGACTCGGTACATTCTGCTGATGTGATGTAGCTGCCACGATAACTCGAATGATTGAACTGCATTCTCGGTCTTAGGTCACCCGACCTTCACGCGACCATACCTACGCGCAGCCAATCTGCTCTTGCGTGCCATCGATCGTGACGAGGTGCGACCTTTACATGACCTTCATGCGACCTTCACACAACCTTCATGTGACAATACCTTTATGCAGTTGATCTGTACTTGCATGCCGGCGATTGTGACGAGGCACGCCCTTCACGCATCCTTCATGTGACATTCGCGCGACCTTCACACAACCTTCATGTGACAATACCTTTGCACAGTCGACCTGCTGCTGCGTGCCGGCGATGGTGATGATGCGTCGTCGGCTGCTGTCCTGTCCGGCCGCAGGTTTGTGTTCGACGTCAACGCGCGCTCCCGACGCCAGAATCAGATCCTTGATGTTGGCTCCGTTTTTACCTGGAGCCGCGTCGAATTTTACCAATTATATATTTTGACAATTATGTAATAAACAAGATTGGATTATCGATACAATTAAGACAGTAATAACTAACATTGTAGTATCAATATAATTTATTAATATAATCAGGATAATAATAATTAACACTGTATTACCACTACAATCAGGACAGCAACACCAAGGACTGTGACTGTATATATTCGTATATATACTATATATACGTCAGTCAGCTTTGAGAAAGACCCCTGTTAGAATGCGAAACGTTAGCAGTACGTTTCGCATCCTACACGGTCAAGTAGAAATTAACCATTAGTAGAAGTTAGCTCCATACATATATTCAGATCGGTAATAATGCCGGCTGCTCACCGATGATTCTCCCAACCGCTTCGTTTGGCACGTGCATCTGGAAGCTGAGGTTGCCCTTGGTGACCTCCTCCAGGGAGCGGTTCAGCAGCCTCGTGGCTTCCCTGATCGCGTCTGGCGTTCCCGTGATCCGCAGCATCCTCACCCCGCCAGCCGTCTCCTCATCCTGCATCTTACATCGCGCGCCACTCTGTTCCTCGAGCTAACACAATTTCACAAGAACGCGCATGAAAGCGTCGCTGGCAAACAAACAGCGTCCGCGCACGCATCTGTAGAATCTCAATGTCTCCTGTACGCGCGTGCGTCGATGACGGTATCTTTAAATTATGACAGATACCTGCTCGTTAAACGACATTTATTGATTATTGTTTAGATTTGACGACCTTTCGTCTCGAATCCGTCAGTACTTACATGTCATAGTTTCATTATAATGTCCGCGGAAACTGTCCTTGAGAGGCGAGAAAGAGAATTAATTACTGTATAGAATCATACTCGTAAAGAATGTTGTACAGGCTCCCAATGATATCCTAAGATAACATGCAGCTACGGGCCAACACTGGTCCGACAGATCATTTCAGGGCATGCTGACGTTGGGCCGACGTACGTAACTCTGTGTTAACGATATTGGTGTAACGGTTAACCGCGGTTAACCGAAAACCGCGGTTTTTGCGCCACCATTCGGATATTCGAACCGTCGTGCCGTTTTCGGCTCGGTTTCGGTTCCACATTTTATATATACTCGATATATACGCTTTTGAGATACGCGCACTGCAATTGGCTGGTCGTAAACTCTCGGCCAATCAGCGAGCAGATAACATTGATAGACCACTTGCTACATGCCACGAGAAGGTCAACGCGTTCATTTTGTCCGGAAAATAATTGGGATTGTGTTTCTTACACCTAATCAATAAAGTACAAAGACACTGAGATGGACTATTGGACGTATTTGCCTATTTGGTTACTTTTACTGAAGTCAAATATTTGAATTTCCTGTACAAAGGTTTTGTTGAATTTGCCCTAACATTTGGGTATTGTATATTAAAGGTTTGTTGTTCAAAGAATTTTAGTGACATTATTATTTAATATTTATAAACCAGTCTGATTATTAAATTTTCACTTTTGTTTGGTGTTATAAGATTTGAAATTGATCGCAAATATTCGAACCAAAAATAATCGAACCGACATGTGAAAACTGAAAACCGAACCGAACCGTGAAGTTGTGATTCGTTGCACCCCTAGTTAACGACATACAAACCCTCTTAATGTTGGCGCCCTGACGACCAATAATCCGTCCTACACTACTGCCGGGTATTCCAATCTCTACGCTTTTCGGTCGAGCCATCGCCTGCTTCCTACTGGGTTCATCATCTGTGAAATACAATTAATAGCTGATATACAGTACTCACTATTGCAATTTCTTGTCCTGGACATCGCAACAACATCAAGCAATGTGAAATCGAGGGAATGAATGCAATTGCGCAATCTATTTGCAAAGTGGCTTCTCCATTACACACCGGCATCTTCCTGTTGTCGTAGCAACAGGTAGAGCAGAATCCCTGTCAGTGGAAGTCCGGCTAGGAGGGCTATCTTCTGCCAGCCACTCAGCGCCATGGCGAGACTGTGGCAAGCGTGTTATACGTAAACACAGTATGCGACTCCTTTCTATGCTTTGCTCCCAAGTCCTGTTGTGACAAGAATAATTATTCAGAAATCTTTTTAAAAATTTATCTAATTTAGAAAATGTTGACCCATAAATTCATTTGTTTTAAATTAATTTTGACAGAGTTTATAATTTATAGAAGTTTGAAATTGAGTAAAGAAAAGTGGTATTAGTACTATTACTATTCAAATGGGAACCGTCTCTACAGAGTACAGTAAATTTGAAGTGCAGATTTGAAACGTTTTGTCGTTTACGCTTATGACTATTGACTATGATTAGTGTGAATATATGTGACATTTAAATGTCAATAAATGTTAATACCGTATTGATAAGGAATACTAATGCTCCATAACATTACAAATTACGTGTAGTTTAGTGTATAAATAGATAATTGATAAGTACCTTTGGTACGCATCGCAAGTCGTGCTTTGCCGGTATCGCTTAGACGGACTCCAAATACGCCCGTAGCTCTGCCTAACGTATAGATGGTAACTTATGGAGCCAGTCTATATTGCTCTATCAAGGACGCCTACAGAGACGTACAAGACGTCCGGTTACCGGTCGTATACGCTTTTGTCATGGAAGTACTTAGTAGTTTAGATTAGTTTTCATATCGACGGATCTTTTTATCATGATTGCATTAGGAAAAGATACTGAATTGTTTTTCCGTTGGCTCGTATATATGACGCCGTTTACACACAAGTACGTGTGTGGAATTTCTATTTTTTAAATTGTAAATTTCAATTATTTGATATTTATAATTTGATATTGGGATTGAAGTGGTTTTTAATGCCACTATTATAAGTAAAATAAATATGAACACCTTATGCGCGTGAAACTTGCGGTAGTACCGCACAGCTTTATAAAGAACGATAACAGGCGAGTGAAATAAAACTAAACTCATTTATTTTCTATTCATCAACACAATTACAAGCCACGTTGCGAAAAGAAACAGTACTGGTATCATTAACCTTTACACTGCACTACAACCGTAACATTAAACCCCCCTTCCATTGTGCCACAACAGACCAAATAATATAATCTGTGCATTATTTTACACAAGTGCCAGCATGCTAGTTCAACGGAAATGTTTACTTTGATCAAGGAGAAATCGATTACAATAAATTGATAAACTAAAACTCAATGCTTAGAGAAGGGGCAGTAGTAGCTATTAGGCAGCAGTTGGCATTACGCGAAATATTCAGTAGCTCTGATCCAAACAGCAATTTATCTCAGCCCTATTTAATATCAAACCGTATAATTAATGTGCTACGTCGTTAACATATATCCGCAACTCGGAAACAAGAAACAAATAGGTTGCGATTAAAGCAAACTTCAGCAATGCTTTGTAACGCATCAGCAGGAATGGTAGCTACAGCAATGTAAATGACTGTAGTGTGTTAACCTGATTCCCCCCCCCTGGTTACTAGTATCAGGGCCAGACCAAACATACATAGACATGCATAGTTACATGTGGGCAAAAAACAAACATGCACTCGCACACACACGCGCACACACACACGCACACACACACACACACACACACACACACACACGCACGCACGCGCACACACACGCACACGCACGCACGCACGCACGCGCACGCGCACACACACACACACCAGGTGGTACAGATGTACAGTATACATGCACATAATACAGTTTTGTGCCTCCACCGTGTGGATTTGCATTCACAGCACATTCGACATTACTGATCATGAACAAATTGCCAAACAAACGGAGAAGTATAATCTAAAACATTTATCAAGTCAACTAGGACGACACTAGATGAACTTTGCAGAAAAATTGCACTGCAACAGTGACCCATAAGCCTTTTCTTGATTGCAGTATACCTTATAGAGACAAGGAGCAATAATCTAAAATAATGTATCATCACATCGAACAGACGATCAATTGTGTATTAAATTTGTGCGCATCTCATACAAAACCACACTCGCCCATTCGTGCTCCCCCTCTCTCGCTCACGCTATTTCTACCTCCTTCGCCCCCTTTCTCGCTCACGCTGTTTCTACCTTCTTCCCCTCCCTCGCTCGTGCTATTTCTACCTTCTTCTCCGCTCGCGTTCTCTCTCTCTCTCTCCCTCAGAGTGCTTCACCGCTACTCAGACCACAGATGAGACGAGTGTAGTGGCAGCTGCAAGGTCGCTGACCCCGGCAGCGCCACCTGGGTAAATCCGCGCGTCCTCCACGCTCCCTGCCGCTGACCCGTCCGCTCCCGGCGAGGCTCTCAACGTCCTCCGAACTGTCGCGACGCCATCTGGTGGTCGGTTGTTCGGATCACCTGCCGTCACTATCGCATCATCATCTGTGTCGACGTCATGGAATCGGGGAACAGGTTGTGATAGTTCAGTAGGGGCACGTAGGCCGCCGTCACCATCTTACCTGCAACGAACAAATGAGAGAGACGCTAGAAGTGCTAATAGAGGCACACGTGCGAGAGCCTGCGCATTGAGAGGGAGTTTTTCGTACTTACAGTGACGAACCCGTATCCACGCGCATCGGCCCGTCTCGCTGTCCATCATCAGCCGAATGTGATCGATCTGAAAGCAAGTAACAGACGCGTCAAAGCTTTAACTCATGCCCGCGGCGCGCCTGGCACGAACGTCAATGCCAAAACGTCGAGTTTAGTCAGTAGCTAGCTTAACTTGCCACATGGCTCAAATCTGGTTATTCAACCTTTATGATCGCCCACACTGCCACCACCAGTCACGTAGCTTACACTCCGATGTTCTACCACCCACCCTACCTCCCCGGTCACACTGCCACACCCAGTCACGTAGCTTAACCTCCGATGTTCTCCTACCCCACCTACGCCCCGTCCACATGCCACCACCACAGTCACGTAGCTTACTCCGCATGTTCTACCTACCCCACCCTACCTCCCCGTCAGCACTGCCAGCCACCACAGTCACGTAGCTTACCTCCGATGTTCTACCTACCCCACCCTACCTCCCCCGTCACACTGCCACCACCACAGTCACGTAGCTTACTCCGATGTTCTACCTACCCCACCCTACCTCCCCCGTCACCTGCCACCACCACAGTCACGGAGCTTACCTCGCATGTTCTACCTACCCCACGCCACCTCTCCCCGTCACACTGCCACCACCACAGTCACGTAGCTTACCTCCGATGTTCTACCTACCCCACCCTACCTCCCCCGTACACACTGCCGACCACCACAGTCACGTATAGCTTACCTCCGATGTTTACCTACCCCACCTACCTCCCCGCTATTTCACACCATTCTTCTCTGGCCACCGCGCCTGTGCTAGCTTACGTTGCGAAAGGCTCACATATGCCCTTCTTCCTCTACACTCCCACATGTGTAACAGTGTTACTGTAGTTTAGAATTATTAGAAGGTAGAGAGTAGCAGTTGGTTTGAGAAGATACGTGTGTGTTCGTTGGCAACATATGTGTAGATATTTGCCGCTACGCGCGAGCATAAATTAAATAATATTACAGCAGTAGCGAGCAAGTAGAACTGAAATTAGCAATGACTTAGTATCCGTATATAGCTAGGCAGCCAGCGAACGTTGACGCGCGGCGCGTATTAGCAGCATTTCATTACGTAAGGTTAGCAGCGGCAGTTGGTCGCGCGCAGGCCAGGAATACGCGGCAAGCGTGCGTGTTGACCACATGTGATACGTTCGTGACGCATCGAGTTTAGAAGCATCTCACGTAGTCCCAGTCTATATATGGGGCTTTGCGAGGTCATTACACCAAAGAAAATAGATATCTTTTAGTTTAGTAGATTCCCACTTGTCGCCATCATGGCCAGCACAGTCCAGTACACCATAACTACGTCATAGTTACCATGTAGAAATAATTTAGTTAACGAATCAACAACAAAGAGAAAATCAAGTGTCTGAACAATGGTCAGCATGGGGAGGGCTGATTTATTTGGCGGAGTATAAAGTAGCTTAGGCAGAACAGAAAAAGGTTGAGTCCGAGACACAGAGACACAGAGACAAGTCTGACGTTGCCTTCAAGCTTCACCGCAGCACGAACCGAAACGAAACTAATCACCTATATAACACATGACCCCTCTACCTGTGCGCACCAACCACCAGCTACCTATATGTTCATGATTTACCTGCCAACCTACCACCTCTACCTATGCGCACCACCAGCTACCTATATGTCTATGATTTACCTGTCAACCTACCACCTCTACCTATGCGCACCACCAGCTACCTATATGTCTATGATTTACCTGTCAACCTACCACCTCTACCTATGCGCACCACCACGCTACCTATATGTCTATGATTTACCTGTAAACCTACCACCTCTACCTATGCGCACCACCAGCTACCTATATGTCCATGATTTACCTGCCAACCTACCACCTCTACCTATGTGCACCACCAGCTACCTAGATGTCTATGATTACCTGTAAACCTACCACCTCTACCTCGTGCGCACCACCAGGCTACTTATATGTCCATGATTTACCTGCTAAACCTACCACCTCTACCTATGCGCGCACCACCAGCTACCTATATGTCCATGATTTACCTGCCAACCTACCACCTCTACCTATCGTGCACCACCAGCTTACCTATAGATTGCTACCACCAGCTACCTATATGCCGATGATTACTGCCAATCCTACCACCTCTACCTCATGCGCACCAGCCAGCCTACCTATATGTCCATGAAATACCTGCCAACCTACCACCTCTACCTATGCGCACCACCAGCTACCTATATGTCCATGATTTACCTGCCAACCTACCACCTCTACCTGTGCACACCAC